CTTTTAGCCTCTAGCTAGTTTTTTCTACTTTCAGCTAACTCTTTCCTTTTTTAGCTGTTAATTAGCCTCTCCTACTAACATTTTGCTGCTTTTAGCATGTTTGCTACTTTTGTCTAGCCTTTCACTACTTTTAGCTGTAGCTTTTAGCTCGTATTTTGCTACTTTTATCCATTTTTGAAAGTGTTAAACTCTCTGGGGTTGACTCGGGGTCTAATCCTGTCCCACGAGTCTCTGACAGGAAGTCTGCTGTGTGGTTCTGCTGGAGGCCCGTTAATGGACCCGGAGCGGTTCTGTTTGTTCTCGGCGCAGAGGAGAACATTCCCAGCATTCCTCGGGTCTTTGTCTGCTGTCGGCGGAGACGAGCCAAAGATCACCACAGAGTGAATCATCTTGGAGGTTATCAAGTCCTGGTTCTGTTTAAGGTCTGGATGTTCAACAGAACCTGTCGGGTCCAAACGTCACCTTCCAGCAGAAAAGCAGCTCAATTCCCCAACGGTCAAATTAAAATGTTTTCTTTGCAGCTGCAGGTTTCTGTGAAGGACTTGGTTTTCTGGGTCTTAAAGGACTCCCTTAGACTGGGATGTGGTTCTGAACAGTTCTGGGTCAGGTCTAACCACTCGGGGTTCCTCGAGACGAGGATTGAGAACCGGTCCAAACACAGCTGGTTGTTTCAGACTCTGACTGTCCGTCTCTGTCTCTGTTGTGGACAGGTGGTGACTCCGTCCAGGGTGGGACAGTCCTACACCTTCAGCCCCGGAACGCAGAACCAGCAGAACATCTACGACGTCCCCCCCAGCAGAACACAGGGGGTAGGTGTCACACTTACATCATCAATGCCCGACCTGTCAGTCATCATCATTTGATCTGTCAATCATCATCACATGATCTGTCAATCATCATCACATGATCTGTCAATCATCATCACATGATCTGTCAGTCATCATCACATGATCTGTCAATCATCATCACATGATCTGTCAATCATCATCACATGATCTGTCAATCATCATCACATGATCTGTCA